GTTCTATCTTGAGCACACATGCACATACACACCACACACACACACATTCACACATTCACACACACACACATACACACACGATATAAAAGACTGAAAAGGGGAGGAAAGCTTGGAAACAAAAAGCTCAATAAATACAAAACAAAAACAAAAACAATAAAGAGTATTAGATTGTATAGAAAGCTAAGAAATGCTTGCATTCAGATAGAAATCATGACCACATGTAGGACCTCTAAAACAAAGACAGAGACAGACATCCAAGTGCACAGGCATTTGAACATTCAGGGACAAGACTAGAAAAGAACCTCTCTATGTCATATTATATTTAAAATAATGAGAAGAAAACAAGGAAAAACTATTAAGAAGTGGGGATACAGCTCAGTGAGAGAGTATTTGCTTAGCATGCCTAAGGCCATGGGTTCAATCCCCAGCACTACAGGAAAAAAAAGGAGTACTGAAAGCTACAGGAGAGAAGGTCCAAGTTACTTACAAAGGCAAACCTACCACAATAGCAGGACACTTAGCAGAAATCCTAAAGGCAGAAGAGCATGACTGACAATCTCAAGCTCTAAAACAAAATAGTTGCCAATGTAGACAACTATACACAAGAAGGTTACCCTAAAATTTGAAGAGCTGGGCGTGGTGATGTATGCCTTTAATCCCAGCGCTTGGGGGGCAGAGGCAGGTAGATCTCTGTGAGTTTGAAGCTAGCCTGGTCTACATAGTGAGTTCCAGACCAGCTGGGGCTACAGAGAGACCCTGTCTCAAAAAGACCAAAAAAAAAAAAAAAAAAAAAAAATGAAGAAGAAATAAAGGGCAAGCATAAACTAAAACAATTCATGGTCACTGTTCTAGTTCCCTTTCTTTTGCTGTGATAAAACACTCTGACCAAAAACAACTTATTTGCCTTACACTTCTAGGTCTCAGTCCACCATTAAGGGAAGTCAGGGCAGAAACCAAGAAAAATGCTGCTTGCTGGCTCTCTCTGGTTTGCTCACAGGCTCAGATTTGGCTACCTTTCTTGTACAGTCCAAGACAATCTCCCTAGGGATGGTGACATTCACAGTGGGCTGGGCCCTCCTGCATCAATTGATAATCAAGACAATCCCTCACAGATATGACCACAGGCCAATCTGATCTAGGCATTGTCAATAGAGGTTTTCTTCTCAGATAACTCTAGGCTGTGTCAAGTAGACAAAGCTAACTAGGACAATCACTAAGCCTACTCAAGGAAACACAACAAATAGAGGAGTAAGAAACATAATCAAGGGGGTTGGGGAGTGGGGTCAGTGGATAAAGTGCTTGCTGAACAAGCCTAAGGACCTGAGTTCAGAGCTTCAAGACCACATAAAGCCAGAGGTGGGGGTCCTCAGCATTGGGGGAAGAGTAGAGATAGGAAGATCCCAGGGTCAGCCAGTCTAGCCAAAACAGCAAGGTTCAGATTCAGTGAAAGACCCTGTCTCAAAAAGTAAGGTAAAGAATGTTAGAAGACATACTAACGTCAACTTCTGGCCTCCACAAGAGCACACATGGGCAAGTGTATCTGTGTACACACACATACACTGCACATACATGCACACAATATAATCAAGCACAAGAACTTGGGAAAGAATTTCATTAGGATAAACAAATAAATAATCAAACATCAATTCAGTAAACTAGCAAAGCGCTAAAATGAAGAGAGAAGTTAAGATACTGCTCAATCATAACACTAAATGCAAATGGTCCTAAATCTCCAATTGAAAGACACACAATTGTGAATGGATCAAAACAAAACATCCAACTGTTTGCTGTCTACAAGAAATTTGCCTTATGCTGTCTACAAGAAATATGCCTTATTGGCAAAGACATACAGACTGAAAGTTAAAAGATTTGAAAAAGATATTCTAAGCAAAACAAAGAAAACACAAGCAGAAATAGTTATACTCATGTCTGACAAAACAGACTTCAAGACAAAATTAGAAGGAATACAGGAGGCCACCATATTAATATGGTGAACAATCCAACAAGATGATGTTCAAGGCCAGGCATGATAGCATATGCATGCCAGCACTGGGAGGCTGAGACAAGAGGGTTGTGGAGTTTGAGGCCAAGCGGCATTACACAAGACTTCTAGGCCAGCCTGGGTTATATAGTAAAGCTCTACCTCAGAAAACAAAACAAGCAAAAAATAAACAAAAATAAACTCAGAGAGAGCGAGAGAGAGAGAGAATGCATGACTATAAATATAATGTACCAAATGGTAGTACACTCAATTTCATAAAACACTAAAAAAAAAAAAACTAAACATACAAAGAACTAATAATCCAAACAATAAATGTGCATATGAATTTGAAAAGAGTTCTCAAATGAAGTATAAGTAAGGAAATGGGAAGATGCCTGGGCGGATAAAGCTCTTGCTGCATATGAAGACCTCAGTTCAGATTCCCAGAACCTAAGAAAAGCTGAATATGGCAGTGTACCTCTGTAATTCCAGCACTCCTACAGCAGAATGAGAGTCAGAACGGACATTCGTGCACCAGCTAGCCTTGCTTATATAAAGCAGCAAAGAGACCTTGTCTTACAGGGTGGAAGGTGAGGACTAAAACCCGAAGCTATCCTCTGATCTCCACACATGCAGCAAGGCCCACACTCACCTGTACTTATATACAAACATGCACGCACACAGAGATTTAAAAAACCAACAAAAGGCCAATAAAAACACCCAAAACAAAAAAAGTTCAACATTCTTAACCACCAAAGAAATGCAGATCAAAACTGAATTGAGATCCCATTTCAACCCAATCAGAATGACTACTATCAAGCAAGCAAACAATAAATGTTGGAGAGAAGGCAGTGAACAAGGAAATCATACATACTGTTGATAGAAATGTAAACCAGCATAGCCTCTATGGAAATCTGCATCAAAGTGCCTTCAAAAACTAAACATAGAACTACGGTATGCTTTAATTATACTACTCACAAGTATATACCTGAAGGAATCATCAGCATACCACAAAGGTATCTGTATATACATGTCTATTTTGGCGCTATTCACAATTGCCAAGAAATACCATCAGCCAAATGCCCATCGACAGATGAATAAGGAAAATGTAGCAGAGATACACATCGAGCTTAACTCAGTTATAAAGAACAAAGCTATGTCATTTGCAGGAAAATGGATGGAGCTGGGGATTATCAATGTTAAGCAAAAACAGCCAGGCTCATACAGACAAATCTTTGATGTTTTTTCCTCTTACGTGGAATATAGATTTAAATATATATAAATAAATACAAACGCATACACACAGCAGACATGAAAAATTTTAAAGAGGTCTATTTGAAGGGAGGAAGACGACTAAAGACAAGGGATTGAGGAGGAGCAAGAGGGTAATGACAAAAAGAGACAAATGTCACATTTTCTCTCATATGTGGAATTCATAGATATGCAAACAGAAGGGGAACTACTAGAGGGAGGGTGGAGACAGAAGGGGGTCATTACAGAGGGAAATGGGAAGTAAGATTATGAGCAAAGTACAATATACTTGCATGAAAATGTGATGATGAAACCCACTATTGTATATGCAAACACTAACATTAATAAAAATATGACATGAAAAGAGAAAGGGGATTATTTGAAAAGAGGAAGGAGACCACTGGGAGGGAGGGGACAGAAGACAAGCAAAGGTAATGGGGGGTATGAAATGATCCAAGTATATTATATACCTGTCTGGGAATGTCATAATTTTGTAAAACTATGTGCTTAAAAGATCAGTATTATAAGCCAGATGTGATGGCATACATCTATAATCATAGCAGTCAGAAGGCTGAGGCAGGATTACAACTTCAAGGTTAGTCAGGACTAGTGAGACCTTGGCTCAAAATAAAGAAAAAGAACTAATAGCATTTGCTACCTTGTCATGGGATAAAGCCAGGAAAGCTTTGAAGAGCCTTACCACTCCACATTCTACTCCTGTTGATAAAATCCTGAAGCCTTAACATAGTAATCAGGAACGGTTTTGTTTATACCGTATAGTAGCTTCCCTGCTCTGTCAGCCCAAGAAACTATCAAATCAAGCAATCACATCTCCCTCAGGATCAAGATACTCCAGTTACCAAAAGACATGTCTCCCACAGCCTCTGGTTCTTCACTCTCTTTTGAGCACCACCCCAAGAGGCTCTGCATGGTATGAAGAGTCCTCTTCTCTGGGCTGAGTACAGGTAACTAAGAAACTGCAGTCTACCTGAGTCATGACTCCAGAATCTCTCCCCAAGTAAAAAGGTGGTTAAGGCAATATACTTAATGAAATTTTATCCAAAGGTCAAAAGTTAATTGTTCCTACTTTTAATTTTAAAAGCCTTACCTAAGAATTGTCTTCATAATTTGTGGTAGCAATTAAGATCTTTTTTTTTTTCCATTCCTTTTTATCTATATATTACCCAAGCACACAAAGAAGAGAGGCCTTTGGGGGCAAGCTGGGTAAATTGTGTGTAGTTTTAGAGACTTCTTGTAGCAAGGCCAACTCTCTCTCCTGTGCAGTTAATTTCCCAGCACAGGACGCTAACACCCATTACATCAGTGTCACTCCTGCCCATATGCATATAGCCCTGGCCTCTAGTCCCCCAACAGGCCATGGTTCCCTCTCCCTCTCCTACCTAGGTCCTGTTGTTCAAAGCCCAGCTACACATCAAGCTATGCCACTAGGACTCCAATACCAGCTTTCCACTATAGTCAGCATCATAAAATTTAATTCTCAATTACTGTTCTCTCTTTGAAGTTATAAACTCTTTGTTGTCAAACTCTGCAAGTCCCTTAAAGATAATTACTTTGGTTCTCTGTAGCAGTTTCTCCACAAAAGCATCCATTTATGATAGAAAATTTGGTTTGAAAGGCTTTCTACAAGTAAGGTTATCTGTTAAGTTTTTCACTACAGGAAATATACCAGTGTGAGGGGCAGATCAATTTCAAATTCTAAGACAGCCATCAGTCACTTAAGAAAATGAATAATCTCATTTAGACTTACAGTCTGTCCACCAGTGTGAAAACCCAGAAAGAAAAGTTGCTTCACTATTCTTTGATCTGTTAACACGGTTCCCACTCTGTGAAGGTCAATTACAGCTGAGAGAGCCTGCAACAGAGATATTTCTCATTCTTAAGGGATAGCATGAGACAGGGCCAGACTTAAAGACAACAAAACAAGAAAACTTAGGAGGCTGAGAAGATGGCTTAGCAGGAAAGAGCACTTGCCACACAAGCATGAAGACCCAAGTCCAAGCTTTCAGCACCCATTTTAAAAAGAAGCTGGACATGGCCCCATCTGCACCTATAACCCCAGCACTGGGAACTAGAAGGAGAGGAGGCAGAGATACAGGACTGCTCAGCATACTCCAGGTTCAATGAGAGACCCTGTCTCAGAGGAATAGACGGAAATTAACAGATCCCGCCCACCTGTGCGCACAAGTACAGACTCCTCCCACCTTCTCTCTCACATATACAGAGAGAGAGAGAGACAGAGAGACAGAGAGAGAGACAGAAAGACAGACAGAGAGACAGAGACAGAGAGAAAACTGTAAATTTCAGGGCTGGGGATAAGGCTTAACCTAAAATATATGTAGCCTGGGTAGGAAAAGAAAATTTTGCTAAATTTCACTTCAACTAGGTTTTCAAGTAAAAGATGACAAGTTGTAGTTAGTAACCTACCTAGCCTATTTCTCAGAGGACCTCAGGTAGAGGAGCCCCTAATTGTTGCTGTTATTTACATGTGACAATTTGTTCAATAAATATGCTGAGCAGCTATCACGTGCCAGACACTGGAATTTTAAAGGACAAGGAACAAGGTCCCTGTGGTTCAAGGATCACACAGCAGAAAACAGAAAATTCTATATTTTAAACACACTTTAAAAACCTTATTTCCATCTTGTTCTAAATTATTTGTGTGTGTGTGTGTGTGTGTGTGTGTGTGTGTGTGTGCATGTATTGCCTGCATGTAGGTAAGTGTATCCATGTCATGCAATGCCCACAGAGATCAGAAGAGGCTGTCAGATCCCCTGGAACTGGAGTTTCAGACAGCTGTGAGCTGCTATGTGGGTACTGGGATCTGAACCCGGGTCTTCCAAGAACAGCCAGTGTTCTTAACCGCTGAGCCATCTCTCTAGCCCACTTGTTCTTAACAGACTGAATTTTCACAACTGATTCTACATAATTGAATGTATATTTAGAATGTAAACTTCCATTTAATGCAAATATGTCCAAGATGAAATACATCTCAAAAACTAGTTAATGAGTCAGGCATGGTGGTACAGGCCTTCAATCCCACCACTTGGAAAGCAGAGGCAGGAGGAGCTCTGTGAGATTGAGGCCAGCATCGTCTACGTATCAAGTTCCAGGCCAGTTGGGGCTACAGGGAGACCCTGTCTCAAAAAACAGAAGAAACAAAAATATCATACACCTTTAAACTTGTCAATTTTTGGCATTTCATGTCTACTAAGGCTAGACAAAATATGCAGTAAGGGCCCAGGATGAAAAAATGGGCATAGACATTAACTTATCATGCAATAGTAAGCAGTGGAACCAGAACTCAATCCAAGCCTCTTTCTTAGCTCTCTGCCTTTCTCAATGGAGTCTCCTCGTCACATAAGTGGAAGATGGCAAGAGGCAGCTAAGACCAGGGTTTCAATGGAGGTTGTCCTTGCTATCCCTCGTAATCCTTGTGTTCTGACAAGGCCTTCACCACCCTCATCACCCAAAGTAGACACAAGGGCCAACATATCACATGTACTCTACCTTTAAAACATGGCCTTGCATCTGCTTTACCTACCATTCCTGCATCTCTTTGTATTTCCTGGCTCTAATTCAGCTTAAAGTACACAATGCTGCCAAACTGGGGTAGAAAACACATCTCTGCATGTCTTATTCTCCTGCTTAAAAACGTATGGGTTGATGTGTAGCTCAGTGGTAGAGGAGTATATTGTTAAAAGGGGCAAAGCTGGGTATGATCTCCAGCACCAAAAAAAAACAAAAAACCTTAGAATGGCTTACCCACTGTTTACCACAAAAAGTCTGAATTTTGTTACCTAGTAACTAAGACCCTTCATCATTTGCCCCATACCTTTTGTTTTTGTTTTTTTGAGACAATTTCTCTCTATATAGTTCTGGATGGCCTGAAATTCTCTGTATAGACCAGTGTGGCCTTAACTCAGAGATCCACCTGCCTCTGCCTCCCGAGTGCTGGGATTAAAGGTCATATCTAACTTTTAAATTTTCTAATACTCTATTTCACGTAGCCTGTGTCTTCCCAAAGTCAGGACATTGCTAATTTAACCAATTCCAACTTTTCCTCCACCATGTTTATTTATCCTGCCTCCACTGTAAAGGGCCCAATCAAAAAGCACCCCTACATGCAAGCCTTGTTGGAATTCCAAGAGCCAAAGTAATAGCAATGTTTTATGAATTCCAGTCTTCAACCTGCATAACTTTCTAACTTGTATTAAGATTACTTTATGTACACCATACCCCCTTCACTGTGGCTCCGTGTTAAAAACAAAAAACAAAGAACTGGTTTGTCTATCACATTTACTCAAACAAAAGTGTACTGAGTACATACTATAGACTATGAACAGGGGTTACAACTATAAAGAAAATAGGCCAAAACCCTGTCTTCATGGAACTTACCTTCTATTAGAAGCAGGGTAAAACATAAACAAACTACATAAGGACAATGGAAAGTGGCAAACACTATGATGAAAAATAAAGCACGTCAAGGGGGCTGAGGAGATAATGGGAGGCCTTGCTGACGAGGTAAATTCAGCAGACTTCAAAGGGACCAGAAAGAACAAAGCAGCAGAAGTGCAGAGGCACAGGTATGGGGAAAAGGAAAGACTACCCTGGTTGATCCTGAGTGAGCCAAGTTAGGTGGGAGGCCAGAGAAGGGTAAGAAAGCAAGTGTCAGTTCAGGTGGGTACCCCACAGGTTACACGCAAGGCTAAGAAATGCCAGACCCACCGCAATCCATTTCTTTTGGGAGACCATACTTCTTTTTACCTGAGGTCATTATAGAACTTTATACAAGTGTTCTATTTCAAATTTGTGTACACAAAACACATACGATCAGATATGCACAAAATGTTACAGCTGGGCATATTCTAGTCTGAAATATTTGCTTGATTCTACCACACAGAAGTACTTAGAACTCTTTTTTTTTTAATCTGTCAAGTAAAGGCTTTTTTAAAAAGTAGTATTAGTATATTTGAAGTTTACAGTATGTTGTGGGATACAGACAGTAAAATGTTTACTAAAGTAAAACAAATTAACATGCCACCTCCCTTTTTTCCTGACAAAAGCAATTAAAATCTACCCATTTAACAAAAACCTCCAATACAATTTTTAGTAACTAAAATCTTCATGTTATACATTAGATTTCTCTCTCTCTCTCTCTTTTTTTTTTTTTTTTTTTTTTTGTCTTTTTGAGACAGGGTCTCCTTGTAACCCCAGCTATCCTGAAACTCACTAGGTAGACCAGGCTGGCCTCACACTCACAAAGATCCACCTGCCTCTGCCTCCCAAGTGCTGGGACTAAAGGCATGTGCCACCACACCCGGCAGATTAGATCTCAAAACTTATTCTACATACCTATTTTGTAGCCTCTGACTTATACCTATCAACCGCCCCCTCCACCACCATATCAATCTCTACAGAATAGTCCTTGCGTATACCACAATATATACCAATAAATAAGTCAGAGTTTAGGTGAAGTTTTTCATAGATTCTATAGAAAAAAAGGTTATATTTAAAGTCATGTCTTTTTAAGTATGGGTGAATCATTTTTATATAATATATCCTCAAAACAAATGAAATAATTTTTATTACTTATTTTCAGTAACAAGATTACCACTTACTACTTTACACAATAATCAGAAGGCAGCATTATTTCTACTTTACCAGTTACCTTGTGAGAGGGTCCCACAGAAGTGGATGGACTCTGCTTCTACATCTGACTGCTCTTAATACCACTGTATAATTTTAGAGGGGTGTTTTAAATCAAAACAAAATGTTTTGATCTTTTTGAGACAGGTTCTCTCTTTAGCACCCCAGCAGGCCTGGAACTCAAGATGGTCTCACAGAAGGCTGGAATTAAAGGCGTATTCCACCATGCCCAGCTTGTACCCCACCCCCAAGTTCTTAGTCTCCTGCACAGTTCTCACGGCTATCTCAGACTGCATTCAGTATTCTCAACTTCAGTTACTACTATATAAACGTGTGAATGAGTTGAGTGTGAGTGTATGCAATGTGTGCCAAGAGCACACAGGACATATGGGGGAATGCATGTTCCATGTAAGAGCACACCTGCTTTGGGCGCCTGTGGAGGGTAAAGGTGGACATGGGGTGTCTTCCTCTGTCATTCTCCACCTTAGTTTTTCAGACAGGGTCTCTCAATCAACCTGGGGCTAGCTCACTGATTGAACAAGCCTGTCTGCAACAGATGTGTGCTACTGCACTCTTAGCTTTTTATGTGGGTGATGGAGACCCCAAATCAGGTCTTCATGTTTGCCTAGCAAGCACTTTACCAAATAAGCCACTTCCCCAGCCCCTTAGCTAATTACTTTTAAATCCAGACTTAGAAATACTACGCAGCCTATCTCCAACTCTAACTCAGCAACACTGTTAGAAGTGAAAATTTTAACTTACATGTAAGTTTAATATGGTCTCTCTTTTAAAAAACAGAGATGATTTATTCATTCTCATTTTCTTGGAAATGCTATCGTTTATTCCCATTTAAAGTATTAAACCCTGGCAGAGTAGTTCCACCCTGGAAAGAAGAAAATATAGAAGTAGGTAAAAGGACTGAAAGTTACTCCTTTTAGAAATATGGCTAGTGGACTCCGTATTTTCACTTACCAAGTAATGTGACAACTAGTCAACTGAGCTTCAATAGACAGCTTACTGGAATGAAAGCTCTGTGCTTCTCAGGCTTCCTCTTTTAACTTAAAAAAAAAAGTACTAAATGGGCACCTCGGATACAGAGAATTTCCAGTTTAAGACATGGTCCTATATTAAATGCCTTGACACTGTAGTAAATAAATTAAGGAGGCATACACACAAAATATACTGAGTTTTGCGTTATTGAAGAGGAAGATCCAGTGACTCTACAAAAGGTACGGAATTCAAACAGACATGTTCAGAACGCTACAGCAAGCTGAACCCATCTTCTAAAAACTCATTCAGACAGGCAACACTGATGCACAGAACTTAGCGAGCACGCGCCCCGACACGGCCAAGCAACCAGACTTCCGGGGTACTGAAAGGCAAGCCGACTCACCATGGGCTTCCTCACTGCGGATTACTAGGAAAGTTGCGTCTAACCTCAGCACACGCGTTGAAGAAAAGCGGCCCCCGACGGGCCCTTCTCCGCTCTCAGATCCGCAGGCCCCCCGCCAGTCAGCGCCGGGGCTTGCAGACAGGAAGAAGGCGCTACGTCCGGGCAGTCGTAGGCGGCCGGACGGCGCGGCTCCCGCGGGGACGCGGCCCAGACGTCCACTCACACCCCCACGCGGGCAGCTCGCTGCTGCGCGCGCGCAGCCACCGCCTCCGGCGACGTCCAGCGGGAAGTTCGTGCATCCGGGACTGCCGCCGTGAGCGCCGCCTCCTCCATAGGAGCGCAGAGGAGCCGAACTCGGACGGTCTCCGGCTACGCCGCCGCAGCACCAGGGTTGCCCCTAAGGAGGGCCTGGGCGCAGCAGAGTGACGCAAGAGGCCGCGCGCGGGCGCAGTGTTCGCAGGCCCCGCCCCGCTCCGCCCCCTGCCGGAGTAGACGTGCAGTGTGCGGCCCAGGGACTAGATATTGATCTCTGAGGTCGTATTTTTCCGCCAGCTCATCAAAATCCAAACTCTGTGCGGCGCGTAAACTACGATTCTTAGGGACGTTCGCGTCCTGAAAGACACTTAGGCAGTGCGAGTGTTGGAAGACTGCAAGGGGCAGGACTGGGTGGGACCCGGATGCCGGTTTGCCTGTCCCATTACAGTATGAAGGAAAGTTACCTATTCTAGGGGGAAGAAGTTGTAGAGGTGTTGGGGCTAGGGTGGTTGAAGGGGAACTCACCACAAAAGTAAGAGGCTACAAGGACAACAACAATTGTGAGGAGAAGGCAAAGTAAGACTGCCACTCAGACTGGAAGCGAGCAGATATAGGGGAGTGTTTTGGACCAAGATGTCTTGTGCTTAGTGGGGAACTTCCGTGGTTTGTTAGGCCACATCCATATGTCCACACGGTGTCTCTGATTTCCCGGTGTCTGTCAGGAGTACACCCGTTGGTTCTGTTTCCTGGGTGGTCAACCCTTATGTGGAGGTATCCTGAGAACCGAGTACAGGGGATATGTACCTGAAGGAGGGTGAAAATGGGCAATGTTGGGGTGGGTAGGGGGAGAAAACGAAAGGGAAGAAAAGATGTGTCTCACGGCTTAGCGCCCATGGAAAGTAAGACAAAGGAGCCTACTCACCGAAAGAATAGCCGAAGGGGGCCACTCGTGGCCAACGTGAGAAGCGAGTGGGTCCAGAATCCACGTTGGGCACCAAATGTTGCTGTGTTTCGTGGTGGTCAGACCTCTGTCTGGGGGAGGGGGGGGGCAGGAGATGAGTAGGCGCGAAATCAATGACTCTGACTTTGGGAGATGCTAGTCGGTAGCAGGTTGCCAGCAAGCTCGTTTATTGCCTACAAAGGGCTGCCCTTTATACCCCCCAAACCTCCCCTATTGGTCCTGAAGGCTGAGCTGTGTATCGTCCATTGGTGTGACCATCGGGTCATCTGTCTCTAGCCCAAGCGGCAGATATCAGGTTAGCAGTTTGAGGAAGTTGGCTGCATAATGATAGTGCACCTGCGCAGAGGTTACCAGATCCGGTTTTCTGGCAGATACTCACAGGCCCCCTCCTACACACCTCCTTTTCCATAATGATCCTGAGCCTTGGGAGGCAGAAGTTTGACATAAACCCTCTGTGACCTCTTGTTCTCCCCACATTGGCCTGTTGTGGGTTTCTGTGTTAATCACTCTGTTGCATAAGGAAACTTCTCTGGTGAGAGTTAAGAGATGCATTCAACCTAAGTATAGAGGGTGCACTGAAGATATGCTACTTCGAATTAAGCTTCTCACAGACACTTATTCTCTGTTTGAGCAGTTCAGAAATTCTGTAATCTCCAGATGTTTAAAAATAAGTTTCTTTGATGAGGCATGAAAAGTACACTTGCTTGTAATATGAGGTTACATATTTAGAATAAAGTAAGAAATTACATTTGTTGTGGCTCGAGAGATGGCTTAGTAAGAGCACTGGCTGCTTTTGTGGAGAAACTAGGTTTGATTCCCAGCACCCACATGACAGCTAACAACCATCCATAACTCCAGTTCCAGGGCATCTGACAACCTCTTCTGACCTCTACAGGCATTCACAACACAGGTGCACTTCCATACATACAGGCATAACATTCATAAACATAAAATAATATATTTTTTAAAAAGTTAACCTCCAGCCGTAGAATCCAGCAGTTCTGCTCATGTATTTAGCAAAGCAAAATAAATAAAAGCATATATGAATAAAAAATTATAAATGAACATACCATGGCAGCTTTGTAATAACACACTGGAAACAACTCAAATGGTCAAATGTGAACAAATCAATTAACTGGCATATGTATACAATAGGAAACTAATCAGTAATAAAATGGAATGAATTGTTGTTACATGTCATGCTTCCAAATGGTGAAAGGATTTAAGAGCTTGCTGCTTCTAGAAAGCAACAGCATACAAAAGCTGCTGCTCCTGTCCAGAGGGAAGGGGTCTTTCCCAAGCTGGCAGTCAAACTTGGCAGTGTCATCCACTCGTTTTGGAGACATGCAAGATTGAGGGGCCATGTTTCAGAGAGCCAGTGAAATCAGTGAAGCTGTGATGGTGAAGCCTGGGTTATGGTGGAGTTATCTGCCAAGGAAAGCTACATACAGGGAGTGCAACCAGCCTAAGAGAGAAATGTTGAAGGCAGCCATGCTGGAGGGTTAGAGCCATCTAAGCTCTTTGGAATTGAAGCTCCAGATAAAAGGACACAGAGCTACAGGATTTTGTGTTTTCCCTGCTAGACTTTGGTCTTGAGTTTTTCCCCACAATGCCTTCATTCCTCCCTTTTGGGTTGGGCATATATAGTCTGTGTCATTGTATGTTGAAAGTAATTTGGTTTTTTATTTCAGAGGGGGAGTCACATTGAGAGAGTACCATGAATATCAGAAGAGACTTTGGGGCTTTTTTGAAAAAAATTTTATTTACTATTTTTATGTGTATGTGTATATTGCCTGCATGTAGGTAAGTGCACCCATGTCGTGCAATGCCTGTAGAGGACAAAAGAGGCTGTTGGTCCTCTGTAACTGGGATTACGGACAGTTGTTAGCTGCCATGTGGGTGCTGGGATTCAAACCCAGGTCTTCTGCAAGAACAATTAGTGTTCTTAACTGCTGAGCCATCTCTCCAGCCCCAAGACTTTGGGCTTTTAAACAGTGTTGAAACAATTAAAGACTATGGGGAATTTTGAAGTTGGACTAAATGCATTTTGCATTAGAATGTCCATGTACATTCAGGGGCTGAATGTGGTGGTCTGAATAAGAAATGCCTTGCCCCCTCCCCCTTCATGTAAACACTTGGTCCTAGTTGGTGGTGCTGTTTAGATTATGGAACCTTTAGGAGGTGGAAACTTGCAGGAGGAAGTACATCACTGGGGGCAGGCACAAGTGAATAAATAAGAAAAATGTGATGCATTGGGGGCTAGAGAGATGGCTCAGCTGTTAAAACCACTGGCTGCAGAGCAAATGGGTTGGATTCCCAGCACCCACATCAATCGTGCAGCTCAAAGCTACTTGTAATTCCAGATTCAGGAAATCTGAGGCCCTCTTCTAGCCTCTGCAGGTACTGCACACTTGTGCTGCATATACATACACTCAGGCGCATGCACATACATATAATTTTTTAAAAAGAAAAAAAATTGATACATTAGGATGATTAGCTTGAAACTACACAAGAATCTAAGCGATACTACTCTGGTTTCTCTTCAGATCATATAAATCTTTCGCCTTTTATTAAAGAATCTAAGCAATAGGAAAAGTCAACACAGATTCAGCTAGAAATGTTATTTTATTTTAAAACACATACAGATTAATAAATATTATTGGAAACAATAGCCTTTTATTTACATAAGGCAATCACAACATGCTATGACTACTTCTAGAAAGCAAAATGTAAGCAAGTCTTAGCCACTGATAAATATGTATGTGCACTAACTGGCAGCTCCCCTGATACATTTATGTGAAAAAAATGTTTATGCAATTGACATTTGGCATTTTTAAAAAAATCTGTATCTCTTTCTCTCATGATTTTATTCATTTTACAAGGAAATAATAGTTATCCTTTAAAAAGGCAAAAGCAGGAATGCAACTGAAAAGCAACACCTTTAAATTTTCATAAAGTGCAAAAACACTGATGGAGTGAAGGGTAAGTTATTGTAACAAATCAAAGAAATATTCTGAATTTTTCGAGGTGAATCTTTGGCACTAGTGGTTTGGGAGCTCCTGACATTTGCCTGGCACTGGATAGTTCATCATCAGGTGCGAGGTGCTTAGAAGCAAGAAGTTCAGCATGATTCATGACAAATTGAAAGCAACAGAATTGATGGATCACACAGGTTATATCTGCACCACAAAGACCTAAGCAGAGCATCAGAGGAGCCCATCAGAATCTGGTCTTTCAGTGTAGCCTTTTGTTTTAATGTCTTTATTAAAAAGACATTAAAATTTATTTCTGAATTTTACAATGGAATATATAAACTCTTCCTTTTAAAACAAGATTAAAGCCTGTAGAATCATGCAAACTTTATACCCAGTGCTTCCTTTATTTACTTAGTGCTCCAGGCTACATACTCTACAGCACAGTCCTGAACAGACTCCAAGGTCACTACAAGTTGAGTTTCATCATGCCACTTCCAGAGCAGTACCAAACTTGATGCTCTCATCTGAGGCCACCAAGACACTGCAAAATGTGCTTGCATTTTAGAATCAACCAATTTGGAGAACCATCCCACCCCTTTAGAGGTAGAAAAACTGAGGCACAGAAAGGTTAACAAATTCACTTATATGTGTACAATTCAGGAGAAAACTGGAAAAAGAAAAAAAATCCTCTGGGACTGAAGAGATGGCTCAGTGGTTAAGATCACTTACTACTGTAACAGAGGAGCTGGGTTTGGTTCCCAGCACCTACATGGTGGCTCACAACTGTCTGGAACTCCAGTTCTAGGACATCCATTGCCCTCTTATGACCTCTGTGGGCACTGCACTCCTGTGGTGCACATACATACATGTAGGCAAAACACTCAAACACATAAAATAAAAATAAATCTTTTAAAAATAAATATAAAAAAGAAATCCTCCCTGACTCTCTGGACCTTTGACTCTGCTTTTTAATTACTTTGGGTACATTTGAAACAGATGTATATCTACATGATCATTTTTTTCTACTGAATACCAATTTTTAGTAGACATCTTTTGATACAACAGATGTTACTTTAAAAAAATTTGTGTTGCATTTAATAGCGTATGAGAAATATGTACAGTAATAGATGAGTAGTGATACTGGGCCAAATTCTCATTAATGTTCCTGTAATCCTTAATCTCAAATGTACAATGGAGCATAAGAATCTGGTAAGATATGAAAAATCACTTAAGAGCTAAATAACTGTCTCTTAAAACTCACCAGTAATAATTGTGAAGGGAAAATGAGAAATACAAAAGTTGAGGTCGTTTATGTGATAAACTGGCTTGTGATGTGACTGGTGTGCCAAGTAGTCTTCTGCCAGCTCTAGCAGAGTCTAACAGTGAATATGAGTGAAACACAAGAGACATGTGGCTATAATCCTTGGAAAGTTGGGGGTAAGGAGCTAATACAGTTTTGGTCCCTGAGAAGGCATTAACACCTTTAAGGTTCTATCCAGTCCTGCTTAATGGATGAACAAGCTCCTTGGTGTCAGACACACTGAGAGCACTTCCTTCAGACCACAGAAGCTGATTTATCTAGTCATGAGGTCTTTCCAAAGCGTCCTACTGGTCACAGGAAGACGAACCAAGATCTAGTAGGCATCAGAGTGGAACTCTGCTTTTCTAGATTAGTGGATCAGCTTGGGGAAAAAGGCATTGTCTTCTAACAAAAATTATAAGCAGTAGCCCAGGGTAGTGGCACACTTGTAATCCCAGCTCTGGGGAGGTGACTTTGAATCCAAGGCCAGCCTGGGATATATAGTAAGACTTTTCAAGGGAGAAAAGAGAAAAAGAACTATGCAGCAGGGCAGTGCTCTATGCTAACCAACGCTTGTTTCCGTACACCACATATTTTTCCACACCTGACAAACACTCATCTGAATACTGTACAGAAGCCTGGAATCCAAGCTCTAAATGTTCAGTACAGCAACTGCCAGAGAACTGAGCTGTCTCTAACAAAGGAAGAGGATCAGTGGCTGCACATTTGAATAGTCTTCCACAAAAGCAAACACAAGTGGGCTAGTGGTGTATTCAGAGGTAAAATTGTTGTCTAGTATATATAATGCCCACGTTCAATTCCCAATACCACAAAAAATAAAGGCAAGGAGACAGACATGAAACTAATGAAGGACAAAGATCAATATATTACTTCTGGGATTAACTGGAAATAAAACTAAGCACAACAAGCCGGGTGTGGTGGCACACACCTTTAATCCCAGCACTCAGGAGGCAGAGGCAGGTAGATCTCTGTGTGTTCCAGGCCAGCCTGGTCTACATAGTGAGTTACAGGACAGCTGGGGCTACAGGAAGACCCTGTCTCAAAAAGACCAAAAAAAATTAAGCACAACAAATTGGTGTAGAATATTTCTTACTGCTGAACAATCGGCCATTGTATATCTCACACTCTAATAGACACAACTGTAATGATAGTCTCAGCAATGAGCAGGGCACTGGAAAACAGTTCTTCCCCAAGGGTCCTAGTGTGGGCAGTTATGCCTTCCTTCTCCAAAACCTCCACAACTGACATGGTGTTTATGCAGACCAGCAAATGGTCCAGGTGGTATCCTGAAGCTTGGTTCAGGTTAGAATCGCTAATTAGTCCTACAATTGATCAATACTTAGAACCAGAAATAACCTTTTCAAATACAAATATTCTTATGAACAAAAGCATTGTTCAGGGAGAGGAGGAGAAAGATGGCCTAAACATCTTCCAGAAGTAATTCTATAAATTGTCACCAAAAATCTTTGATTTTGGAGAATACTTGAGAAAAAATATACTGTACGTATTTTTTAAAGCTTTTTTTCCAAAGGTAAAATTCAAATAATGATATTTTTCTATGAATTTACTTTTGGAACAACCAACAGGAAAGTCATTTGCATTCTAGACCCCCCCCCAAAAGCTCTTACTCTGGAACTTTAATTTTCCTTTCCATTTTCAAATGAACTATGAAAAGCTGAACTTAAAAAATATTACTAACTCTATATATGCACTATGTCAAATTTAAAAATTAGACTATTAAATCCTAGTCATAACAATTACTTGGAGGTTGCTGTCAGACTTGAAAAACAATGAATGATAAGAACTTTGTTCCTCTGGAACAAAAGTATGTATCCTAGTGAAGCAAGGTGCTGACCAGATGGAACCTGGGAGATTCTGGTGGTTCCAGGGCCTCAGCAGGAGCACTATTGATACTATGATATTTTGTTTAACGAAAACATCATAGGCTATATGAAACTATCACCTCTGACTATCCATGTGGCTTAAAATTTAAGATGCACCAATAGATGCATTTAAACTAAGCGTCACAGTGAGCTTTAGCAAAATAAACATGGTAATTTCCACATTATAAACTTTATTATAGTAATATAGCTATATTTGTCCTATGATAGCTTACCCTCAGAAACCATACTTTTGATTCATTAAGTCTCAGAAATGAGCAAGGCCACCAGAAAATCAGAGTCCTTTGTGTTAATCTAGTATCGTTTTATTTAGCTTCTTTTGTTTAACAGTTTAATGAACTATTCTTTGTACCTTTACATTCTTTTTATCTGGAAAAGCATATTTTTATCTTAGTGAGAAGTTTAACTGGATGCTATTATATTTCACGTTCTACCTGACCTAATCTACTTCATTCAACTTCACCTTTCAACTTGGCACAGTTCCATTTAGATAAAACAATGCACGTGGAATACATAGTCATAATGGAATCCTTGCATCACTTTGTGCACTGCTCTAATACATGGGAAGGTTATTATGGATAATACTATAGAATAATCATTGATCCAAAACACTGGCATGGTTAATGACTATTTTACACTTAAGAAGACTTTTTGTTTTATTTTGTTGTTTGTTTTTGATGCTGGATATCAAGCCCAGGGTCTTGCATACACTCAGGAAGTTTAGTAAGATGTTGGATAAGGAACTGTAGAAGATTTTACCATTTCAAACAAGGAGAAGGCTAAATCTTTTTCATCTTTGCTAGAAATTCCTTTAAAAATTATATGTTATTCCCCTTTGTAGAAATAACCCTAAACTTAACTGTGTCCTTTAACTTGTTTCTGTATTAAAGTGCACTCAATGTATGTGCTATTAAATAGCTACTCTCTCATTAACAGCCTTATTGACAAGTTTAATAGTTTATTTTTTCTGGATGGCCACAAATGCTTCCTGAAACAGAATGAGGGTATTTTGGATAATGGATCCAAGGAACATAGGTTAAGCGCAAATTATTTCCTGGTACTTAAATAGTCGTCCTTAATTGGACGACTATAAATGGGTCAGCTTTAAAATTTGTTCTGTGTCTTTAGTTTTGACTGTCTTCCAACAAACGTTAACTGCTTTATATATTTGTAAGTTGAACATTGAACATATACACAGTAATAGTTAGATTAAATTAATTCAAGTGATAAAGGCACTAAAATTGATTTGAGCTACTTGAAAAGTCATCCTGCCAATGGAACATCCCATCACATTCATTGACTCCTCTCTCTACTGCTACTGTCTTGGGTGCATGTAGGAGAATCAATTTGTTAGATGATTTTAAAAAGTCAATTTATATACCTCCTATTTGAATAAAGTACCTGAATGTTATACATGCTTAACAGAAACACAAATTCAATCACATTTATTGTACAGAGCCAAATTTCAAAAAAAATTTCTCTGATTTCCTAGGTAACCTGTTAAGAGCATATGCTCTCCTGCAAAGACAACTAGAAAGACCTCATACTTATTTTCAGATTAAATCATATTAAAATGTTTTAAACAAGTAGTCATGAAAGTTTCTAGGTTCATGGAAATGAAAATGGGATTTGTCTCATCTGAAAGGGATGACACCCAGGCAACCACTGGGAGCTTTGGGCTGCAGAGGTCTGGGCCCCACCCTGGTAGAAAGCCAGGCTCCCTATTGCCCACTAGATCCCTAGTTAGTACACAGGCAACTCTCACCACCAGTCTCTTCTATTTGATATCCATTCATAACCACAGACCTCCTCCAATGCCTGTTCCTCAAGCCCCCTACCCTTAGTTGCATCCTAGTCTGTTTTCATACTGGATTTGTTCATCTCCCCAAGGTTGAAATTGAATTCTTTGAACACCTGTATAAGGACAATTCCCACAGAGACAGTTGTAAATCCACAGGCCATGCCCAAGAAGTCCACCAGGCCCACGTTGCTCCACTCCCGGAAGAGGATGGCTGAAGCCAGCAGGACCAGCGTGGTAAACACCACATAGTAGATAGCCCCAAACACGGAGGAGTCGAAGCATTCCAGGGCTTTGTTGATGTACCTGAATTGGACAATGATGCTGCAGCCCAGCACAGCCAGGAGCACCAGGCACAGGCAGAGGGCTCTCTGACTGGACGGATTATTGTGCAAGATGTCTTGGGCTGCCAGCCCAATGCCCTTGGTGGAAGGCACGGTGAAACTCCCCAGCAAAGAGCAGATGCTGATGTAGACCATGATGTTGGTGGGCCCATGGGCAGGCGCAATCCAGAAGATCAGCAGCAGCAGCATGAGCAGCACAATGCACAGGTAGCCCACAAACACTGCAAGACAGATGGAACACAGTGACCTGGGAAGTCCTCTCCAGCCACCACCCTGAGGGGCAGAGCTGAACCAGACTGCTCCCCTACCAGCCACCCCACTCTGTTGCGGGGAGGGAGATCTAAGGGAGGACAGGACAGACAGCCACCCAAGGGTTCTACTTTGAGTTGTTATATCCACTAACTCCGTTCCACAAAAATTATTTCTACCACTATCCGCTGTTCACAGAGTCATGGGAATTGGGAGTGTAGCTCAGTGGCAGACCACTTGCACAATATACTAAAAGACCTGGGTTTGATCCCAAGCACGGCAAAATGAAAATGCATTAACTCCAAGCAGCTACAGCCACAAAGACAACAGTGGCCATGAGATTTGTGGTCTTTCTCAGGAACACCTGTGCCAAAGACTCATTGCCTTATGTCCCTCAGCACTGGAGGTCTCACTAAGTTCTGCTTCCACACAGCCGGCTATGGGTAGAGCAGGCTACAACTATCCGCTGCCCCTCCAAGTGAACGGATAAATATGCTAATGAGAAAAGCTACTCCCAGGACCCCCCAGGGCTAAGCCTGGAGAGATGAAGAAATGGTAATCACCCTCATTGACAGGAAGGCCCTGATAAAAATGTGAATCCCCAAAAGTGTCTTTAACTACTAAATGTTTTTGTGGCCTACTCTATCAGTACCATTAAAAATGTACAAAAAAAATTTTTTTTTAAACTGCTATTAGCAAAATGGACTTTCTTTTCTTTTTTTAAAGGAGTAGGCCTTGTTTTGCCACTCAGACTGATCTGGAACACCTGGGCTTAAGAGCGCCTCCCGCCCCAACCTTTGGAGTAGCTATTACTGCACCCAGTTGCAAGATGAATTTTCTTACTTTAGAGTCAATTCAACAAATCTTTATAAAATACCTATCACAGGAAGACAATGCTGAGGTTGTAATGGGGCATGGGCTTATGTGGGGGTGATCTTAAACTGTGGCACTGTCTAGGCCCAGTGCAATCTTTAGGGGCTGCATACAGTGGATGATGTTGGGGGATGCAAACAGCACTCACAACCATAAATTATTCTATATTCCTCACAACTTCTGAATGTCTCCTTGGAATGGCTCCTTTTCACTTGTAAATGGAAAGTCTGGTTATGATCATCACAACCTAGAAACTATGTTTGAAACAAAGTAATAGTTATGTGGGTTTCATGCACATTGAGTCTTTCACAAATACAACTTCTATGTAAGTTGAAGGATGATTATTCAAGAGTCTTCCTACATCTCAGGGGATCATACTGTTGATGGCAGGGCTCAGAGCAGGTCAGTAAGATGACACCCTGAATAAGTTTGCATCTTCATCTGCTAAATTCTCAACTTCACATGTTATGTAGGGTCTCTCAACTTGAACAACTTGTATCTGAGCATTTACATTATAAGGTAGCATCCTGCTATGTCTCCTTTTTTTAAAACAAAATTTATTATTTTTATTTTATGTGTATGAGTGTTTTACCTGCATGTAAGTGCACCTGCATCATGCAGTGCCCATAAAGTCAGAAGAGAGCATCAGGTCCCCTGGAACTGGAGTTACAGACAGTTTTTAGCTGCCATGTGGTGCTGGGAATCGAACCCAGGTCCTCTGCAAGAACTGCCATGCTCTTAATTGCTCTGCCATCTCTCCAGCCCCTATGTTTCCTTTACAGTGAGGCGTTATATTGATTGCTCTGAAATTATGTGTACAAGGTTATATTTCACAAGTCTGTAAAGAGTGTGCTGGAATTCAGAACTAGGAACTGGTTGTATATGTAAACTAGGCAATGTAGACATTCACAGCAACAAGTGTAGACATGCAAACAAGCAAGCAGGCAATGGGGAGCTCTGTCCCTCAGAGGAGAGAAAAGACTCAGGAAGACTTGATAGGAATGAATGAAAGGACAGCTAAAAGCTGCCCAAGAACCTGACCTACAGACTAGCAAAGGGGCAGTGGAGGGCAGAGGGCCTGGGACATGAAAACAAAATACTACCAAATTGTGAGGCAGGTTTGGGGATATGGGTAGAAAACTAGAAGCAAGTGAGCAGGCAGTTTCTGGAAAAGCAGCAGGGTGTGAATATGGAATGGTCGGGCTCTCATGAGAAAAGGGAATGTAAAGGGCCTTGAAGGTGGAAGGGTCCAGGAATCAAGAAGGCTGGGGTATAGGGAATGGAAGTTAGCAAAAACAGGCCTGACCCAAAGGCAGCAGTGAGAGGAGCAGTAGAGGTAGGCAGTGGCAAAAGGCTAGAAAACAGCACACCAGCTCCAGGAGGCACTGGATAGCTGTCTCAGAAACCATGTGTGAGAATGAAGGATCCACAAGGAAACCTGTTGTCCTATGCTCAGCCCGAGTTTCTCATTTCTCAGATGCCCCCAACTTTGTGACTCTACGTTCTGTTTCAAGCATTTGTTTTGTTATCCTCCTCTTTTAAAAATTTTTTAAAAAATTTATTTTTATGTGTATGAGTATTTTGTCTGTATATAAGTGCACCCATATATACAGTGCCCACAGAGGCCAGAAGAGGGTGTCATATCCCCTGGAACTGGAGTTAGGGACACTTGTTAGCTGCCTTGTGGATATTGGGAACTGGACCTGAATCCTCTATAGAAGCAGTTAGTGCTCCTAACAGCTGAGCCATTTCTCCAGCCCTATCATCGATGCATCCTCTTTAAAGAAACCATTTTGTATTTTTTCTCCCCAGTAATTCACTCCTATGAGACTTTAATGTCACTGATATACTGTATAGCTGTTCAAATATTGTTATCCAAGTCTGTCCTTTATACATTAAGAGTATGATTTTTTTTCTCCCCCAAGTATTAGCTTTTGCTTTCTGGGGTACTATTGCCAGGACCAAGAATGCATACTTCATGGTATTCTCTTGTTAAGTGTTTGTTTGTTTTTGTGGTGCTGGGTATCAAACCCTGGGCCCTGCAACAGCACTCTACTATTGTGTTGTACCCCCCAGTCTAACTGTTCTCTCTTTGGAGACCTTTACAAAACATTTTCTTCTAACTTTTCATCTTTGAATATCAGAGATCATATATGAGAGGATTCAGAAATACAATTAAGTGCTGATTTAAATTTCTTCTGGGACAAACATTCACAGTGCTGTTTGTACCTTTAGGAAAAAAATGCTGGATGTGCCATGTGCATACTGGCAGCACTAAGTGGACTCAGTGGATTTAAAAAAACACAGTATACATAAACCAGGCATGGTAGCCCATGCCTTTTATCCCAGCACTCAGCAGGCAGAGACAGGCAGGGTAAACAGTGAGGCCCTATCCACACAAAATTGAGTGGAGGGGAGTGGAAGTGGAAGTTGGAGGGGAGAGTGTGGAAGTAGATTTGATCAAAACACATTATGTATACATGTATGAAATTCTCAAACAATGAATTAAAAATATTTTTAAAACATTTTAAAGCCAACAAGTGAAAACAAAGAAGCATGTGGTGTGTGGTGTGGCGTTGTGTGCTGCTACTGAAGAGGCTGCAGTGAGGGGAAGGCCGGGCCGAGGCGGGGGGGGCCCCGGGGTTAAGGTTTTGGCTTGCAAAAAAAAAAAAAAAAAAAAAGGAAAGAAAGAAACAAAGAAGAAGAAAAAGAGAGAGAAAAGGGGAAAAAAGAAAACCTATTACTTAACAAGTTAAGTGACCAGAATAATACCATTTTATATTTCACATTTTCTTTTACTCATGATTTATAATTATACATAGGGTGGAGAGATGGCTCAGCAGTTAAGAGCACTTACTGCTCTTGCAGAGGACCCAAGTTCAGTTCCCAGTACTCATGTCAGGTGGCACACAACCACCTGTAATTTCAGCTCATCTGTGGGCACCTGCACTCATATGCATGCACACACACACAGACACACACAGACACACACACACATACACACAAATAAAAAGAATAAAAAGAAAAAAAGTATAATTATACATCTATAAATTACAAATGTATAAATACATTGAGACATGAACATATCAGCATCATTTATACTCATCAAAAGTAAGGAAAGGACTAGGAATATGGCTCAGGATGAAGTGCTTACTTAGCATGCACAAGTTGAGGCTCAATTCCTAGCATGGAAAAAAAGTAACCTTTAGATACACTCCCCTGGAAATCACACAGATAAACCCTAAGGGTGCTCACTAGTTCATCTAGTTGTCCAATTTTTAATGCCTTGTCTTTACACTCTTTTTTTTTGTCTTTTTGAGACAAGGTTTCCTTGTAGCCCCAGCTGTCCTGGAACTCCCTATGCAGACCAGGCTGGCCTAGAACTCACAAAGATCCTCCCGCCTCTGCCTCCCAAGTGCTGGGATCAAAGGCGTGTGCCACCATGCCCAGTGTCTTTACACTCTTAATACTCAGAAATACTTTGGATTTTATGGGAATAAGTGAATATCACAATGTGAGATGTTTACAGAGATACAATGCAGGGAGATAAAGTCTTGGCTAACTTAACTAAAGATTACCTTTTCAAGTTTTGACAGACACTTCTGCTTCTGTGCGCAACACTACTAAATTAAGAACTAAAATATTGTGTGAAGACAGTTCTGTGAAGATATTTGTATAAAATTATTGATAAGCTATATAAGTCTATTGAATTTAGAGAAAATTTGTATTTTGAGGGAACTATAGTTATGCAGTGTTGTTTTTATTGCATTTGCCAAAAAAAAATTATACATCAAACATCTTCACCACAAGGTATCTGCCTTCCAGAGCTTCCCAAAAACCAGGAAGCCTAGGGAGAAAGCGGGTACTGCTCCCGTGAGGGCAGTAGGAAGGATGCACAAGGGCGACAAGACAGCACAGGTAGCCTAGGAAACAAATACAATGGAGAGGAAGCACCACGGAAGACAGGGGGACGTAGCAAAAAGCACGGGTGCACAGAGGAAACTAGAAAATGGAGTGCCAGGCTGAAGGTGAGGCTCAAGGAATGTGGAGGTGAGAAATGGGAGAGGGGAGAGACTTCCAGGAACAGAAAGTGGCACCATGGAGGAAGCATCTGCAAGGCAGAGGGCTGAACTGCCCTTCACGCTAGGTAATCAAGACAAGCACTTGTGCATGTACTTGTGAGCCAAACAGGGTGCCTCAAAGGAGCTGGGTTTGGCTTACACATATAGCCAGCTGATGTACACGCACAAAACTGATGGATAATGGAGATCTATGGTGACAGATCAGAGTGGACACTGTATACCTGCCCTGTCAGAAGTGTCACACTGGAGTGGTAACATGACATGTCTGGCCTTCCTGGGCAGAGTGACTTAGCAGCTCAGCTAGAAAGAGTTACCTGGATTAGTCAGCTTCTCCTCCAGCTCAGCCTGAGTTGTCACACTCTCAGACTTTGGGGAGTGGATAATCAGCACGACAGAACCTGCACAGCTTAGCAGACACCCCAACTTGCCCAAGATGTTGAGCTTTTCCTTCAGAAGGTAAGAAGCTAAAATAGACCTTCAATTAAACAAAAGAAATCATTACAGTTTAAATCAAACTATGAGACTTGTTTCTACTAATTGAATTGAAGATACTTTATCTAGAAGACCCACATTTTCTTTATAGGTGTATTTTATTTTCCATCAAGTTTTTTGTGTTTTTTGTCTCAGTGTCCCAGGGGCACTGGGAATCAAACCAGGGCCCTGCCCATGCTATACCACCGAGCAACACCTACTCCCACCCCATCATTTAGTTCTTACAAATGGAAAAATAATACATTCTCACACCAGTAATTTATTAAAGTTGTTATTTCAACAAAACTGGGTTTTTGTACCATTTCCCTGAACAGCCAGTGTGTAGTCAGTAGCATCTTAACTCATACCATTGTATAATATTATCTCAGGAGATAAGAAATATATGAGTAGAAAAAGAAGTCTCAGGATTGACCAATAATAAAAGTATTACTTTCTTATTTATAAAAGCAAACAACATGTACACAAACAGGAAAAAATATACAATGCTAACCACAGCTGGAGCATGGCAAAAGGAATCTGGGCATTTGTTTTTCTCTAATATTCAAAACTTTTTAAATGTGGTACTACTTTTTTCATATAAAAATAATGTATAAATTCATAAACCATCTATGAACTTCAGGTCTGTAATGTGCCCATCTCTTACTTCCCTGGGTGACACCAGTATACAATCTGAGTCAGAAAATCTGGGCGCCTAGTAAGGTTGTTCCTATACTGCTGATGTCTATGCTGAAGACATTCAGGAGACATGAAATTCCAGGAACAGGGTACACCAGGCTCAGGGATACACAAACAAGGCTTTGGACAGGATCAGTGTTGAACTTAAGGCCCAAAAGCTAATGTAGAGGCAGGGGAAATGTCTCTTATGATCCCTGAAGCATCTCTGAAATAAACTGAAATAGATTAACAGAATAAAACTTACACAAATTGAATTAACAGGTGTTATCATTTGGATTTTTATGGGGAAAAAGACAGTGAGACTCTCACTGTACAGCCCATGCTGACCTGGAACTCACTGTGTAGCCCAGGTTGGCTTGGAATTCATAGCAGTCCTCCTGCCTCAGCCTCCCAAGTACTGAAATAACAGGCATAAACCACCGCACCCAGCTATTTTGGATCATAAATATCCCTCAATGGCTAGGTATTAAAACATGGTTCCAGCCTGTGGTGTTATTGGGAAGTTAGGTCATTGGGAATGTGCCCTGGAGGAAGATGCTGGGACACCAGTCCCTCCTGCTCCCATCTCCTCTCCTCCAATCTCATTCTCAATCTCCCTCCCTCCCCCAGACTTCTGCCAGACTGCCATCAGGTGACCAGTCTCCTATATACCAAGTTTCTGCCTTGATAGACTGCTTCACCAACAACCCAGCTGGGGACCACCAACCATGAACTGAAACCTCAGAGACTGTGTGCCATAATGAACTTTTCTTCCTTTTAGGTTACTGACAGGTACTCACTACAACAACAGAAAGCTAACTAATTCACTGTGCATTAAGTACCCTAACCGAATCAGTAAATTGGCTAATGAATTGGAGAGTTCTTAAAGGAAGAAATGCAAATGGCCAAAAATATTTGAAAACGTGCTCAACATCAAACAAGAATTAAACACAAATTAAAACTACTTCAAGGAGCTAGAGAGATGGCTCAGTGGTTAAGAGTATGTATTGCTCTTCCAGAGGACCCACGTTGGGTTCCCAGCACCCACATCAGGTGTCTCACAACTACCTATAACTCCAGCTCCAGGGTATCTGATATCTCTGGCTTCCACAGGCATGTGCACATACAGAGAACAAGAGAGACTTTAAAAATAATACAAATATTAAAAAGCAAACTACTTTGAAATGCCATTTCATCACAATCAGAATAGTTATCATCATGAAAGCAAAACAGCAAATGCTGCTGAGAATGTAGGGAAATGAACCCTATTCGCTGCTGGTGGAAATGCAAACTGGTTCAGCCATTATAGAAATCAGTATGGCAATTGCTCAAAGAAATCAAACTAGAACTATGATATGATCCAGCTATACCATTCTTGGGAATATGCCCAAAGGATTCTAAGTCAATACACCACAGTGATATTTGCATTTTCATGTTTATTTCTGCACTATTCATAATGGCCAAGATATGGAAGCAGCCTAGAGGTCCAGCTGGGTAGAATGTGATACATATAGTCAATGGAATTTTATTCAATGGTAAAGAATGAAATTATGGCATTTACAGGAAAATGGATGGAATGAAAGATCATTACATTAAATGAATCGAGACAGACACAGAAGGACAGATACAGCATGTGTGACAGTTAATTTCAATTTTCAACTTGATGGGATGAAGAGACACCAAAAACATTAGTGATGCCTCTTTAGAGTGTACTTGTGGCAGCAATTCCAGAGTGGACCAGCTGAGAAGGCAAGAGCCATGATGAATGTTGGTGGTGCCATCCCATGGGGGTGGTTGTGGACTGAATGAAAAGGGATAAAGCAGAAAGCCAGCTGAGCACCAGTATTCATCTCTCCTGATCAGCCAAGCAGTCTCCTGCTTCTGCTGCATGTCTTCTCCACCACATACTACATCTTCTCAAGATGTAAGCCAAAGGAATTCTCCCTGAAGCTTCTGGCTGTCAAGCATTTTGTCACAGCAATGAAGAAAGTAACTAATAGATGTTTTCCCTCCTATGCAGAATCTATATGCATGAATTTATACACACACACACACACACACACACACACACACACGAATGTAGGACCCAGAGTAGAAGAGGGCTATGGGAGGGAAGGAAGAGGTCTAAAGAGATTAGGGAGGGAAATGAGAAAGTAATGCAATATATGCAACAAAACAAAACAAAAAACAGAAGGAGGGACTATTGGGGGGAGCAAGAGAATGAGAAGTGGGGAGGAGGTAGAGAAGGCAGTGTTGGACAGAATAAGAACAAAGTGTAGTGATGAAACCCATTACTCTAGGTGCTAATTAAAAATTTAATTAAAAACACTTAAAAAATCTAAAAGAAAAATGAAGGCTGGTTCCAGCCTGTGGTGTTATTGGGAAGTTAGGTCATTGGGAATGTGCCCTGGAGGAAGATGCTGGGACACCAGTCCCTCCTGCTCCCATCTCCTCTCCTCCAATCTCATTCTCAATCTCCCTCTCTCTCTTCATAGGAGAGAGAGAGAAACGGTGGTATGTGGCTGCAGGTAATTTTAGAGGAGTAGCAGCATAAGTTAATGAGGCCAAAGGACACAGAGGCTAGGACAGGTTCCTCACAGGTAAATGAGGGACACAACTTCACCGCAAGCAGAAGCTGATTTTTGCAGATAAAGTCTCAGTTGTCTTTTCAACTGTCCTTAGACCAACAGACGAACAAGGTGATGACTTCTGTGTCCTCCAGTGGCTATTTTTCCATAATTATCTGATGAGATGCTTAGGGAAGGAAGGAGGGGTTAATACAACTGCATTTCTTTTGGAAGAAATGTCTTCAGTCATATAAGTAAACTTCTGAGCAATCCTTAACTTGTACTTTAGTAAATAAAGAGACTGAAAGATGATTGACAGACCAGGCAGCAAGAAGGCCCAGAGTAGGGGAAGAGATCTTAGTTTTGAGGCTCTTTCTCCACCCTCAAAGTGTGGTCCTTTCTCCAAAATACCATACTTGGGAACAATATTTCTGAGTGCCAACACTAACAAGAGGTGAACCATAGAGATGACAGACCTATAGGGCCAAAGTGCCCATCTTTCGTTCATTCTGTGTCCCTAAACTGAAATAGTTTTGTCCTGAAGAAGGCCCAAGAGTGCACGTGCACTTGGGGAACTAAGCAGCATCACTGAAATAACCAAAAAAAAAAAAGATGAAACACGACCAGATGCTAAATCAGGGCTAATGCAGCTGACCAAAGAATCAGAAACTAGAGAAGTGGCAGGGTCACAGAACAAGAACCAGACCTAGAGTTGGTCTAGGACAATGGTAGGCAGAAGGGGCTGCCAGGAATGAACTCAGACTAGTTCCTGTTCTACCATAAAAGAGCAGAGTGCAATCACCACCTTTAAACTTTGGTTATTTTTTTTCTATTAATGAGTTATGAGTTTTAATATATCCAAGTACAAGTTCCTTATCACATATAGAATTTGAACTGTTTTTCTCCTATTCTGGATTTTCTTTGTTGAAGGCATCCTCTGAAGCATGTTTTCTAAAAAACTTTTTTCTAAACATTTATTTATTTTGTTTTTGGGTATCTGTACAGGCATCAGAGGCCAATTTCTAGGAGTCTGTTCTCTCCCTTTATGTGGTCTAGGGACTGAACTTGGGCAGTCAGGGCTGGGCAAGTGACTTCATCTGCTAAGCCATCATGCTGGCCCACCCACAGCTTCATCCTCCCACTCCTCCAAGACACCCCAATATGTCCCCCTCCCATCTTCATATTCTTAAAGCACAGAGGTTTTAATTTTTATCTCATTTTTTCTTTCCTTCAAGTGCTTTTAGTGTCACACTTAATAACCCATTGCCTAATAAAATATAATTAATTGAACTGTTTTCTTCTACAAGTTTGACAGTGTTAGCTCTTTGACCTATTCTCAGTTAATTTTTTCTCTTTTTAATCATTATTTTTAAAATTTTTAATAGCTACCTGATTAGAAGAAGCTTTTCACTACAACTTTAACATATTCAGTAACACACTCCAGAACAAGAGTACATCTCTTTCACAAATGGCTGAAAGTTTCTAGGTTCACAGTCGAATTAATACAGTTATACAATACTGAACTCAGTATAAGCACTGTAAGATC